GCTCACTGCTATTGGTGTATTCTTTTAGATCATCCAATAGCAGCGAGAGCTCATTGATCCGCTCCGCAACAGTTGAGTCTGCTGAACGCGACCAATGTGATGTGAGCACGCACGACAGCCTTAACCAAAGAGAAACCTGAGAGCTGCCATCCCGGCCTTTTTCCTGTAACGTTTCTAACCCCCGTACATTAGCGGCACTACCGTCCATTTTTGAGCTCCGGAAACTACGTACCACATCCTTTTTCTGACACTGTCGATAAAATCGTACCTATCCACAGGATAAGTGCAGACTATTCATATGATGGGATAGTCGGCACGTTTCTATCCTGTGGGTGTAGTATAGACACGAACCACGTCCACTTTTGACGATAAGATTTTATCGACAGTGTCAGAAAAAGGACGTGGTACGTACTTGCCGGAGCTCAAAAATGGACGTTGGTGTCGCTAGTGTACGGGGGTTAGAAGCATTAGAAGAAAAAGGCCGGGATGATCGTTCTCATGTTTCTATCTACGTTGACAAAAATAAGTGTGTGATTGAGAGTTGAAAAGAAATAAAGAAGAATACCTCAAGAATTGATCTTAATAGTGCCCAACCTCTACGATTAATATATCGTTTTAACGGCAGGTCCGCACTTTTTTCTTTCAGATTCTTTCATTTCGTGCAAAATCGCGTCGAATGAACATAATTTAATCGAAATGAAATGAAGGTGAGAGGAGTCTTCTGAATAATTGTCGAAGAGAGAGAGAAAAAAATATACTGTTTCATCCAGCATCAAAAGGTTGGAATTTGGGATTGACGCAAGTTTATACTCGCGGTGAGTAGTTTATCTTTTCGTTTCGTCCGAAGCATGCGCGATAGTTGATTTCTTTTTTTTTATTTTTCAACGCGGGGTTCTTCACGATTGTACTTTCCTCTTGTTTCGCGATAATTACGATCTGCAAAAATGTTCTCGCTCTCAACGCACTACCTGTCGCATCGTGTATAGGTTAAGAAAGGAGAGGAGTGCGCTTGAAAATTATTAAAATGTTAATATTAATTTGTTAAATTTAAATAGTAATACTCAAGAATTGTGTCCTGCTCGCCGATTTTGATGAAATTAAGCTTATTCGATGCGTTTTTACATGAAACGAAAGAATTTGGCAAAAAAGTGTCGCTCTGCCCCGCGAACCGAGATATTAAGCGTTAAAATTCACGACTATTCAGGTTAGGAAATCTGTCACAGTCACGCAGAAATACTGCGGCGAGCAGGACACAATTCTTGAGTATTACTTATTATTTTATGTAAATTATATTAAATCTTCGTTTAACTAAATTCTCTGCTTTGAAACACAAATTCATTGCTTTGAAATAAATTTTCTGCTATAAAACACTAATTCACTATTTTAAAAACAATTTGCTGTTTAGAAAACACAAATTCACTGCTTTAAAAATAAATTGTCTTGTTTAATTGTAAAACACAAATTATTTTCTTATTCTCTCACACATTATTTTTGTTTTTTAAAGTAGTGAATTAAGCCTATTCTACATTGTGCTTTTTGTTTCCTGTTCCTTGCTTTTGCTATTTTTTACACCTTTTTGCTTCTTATCCGACTTTGTTTTATGTTGCTCGAGATAAACGATAACGAACTTCGGCAGAAACAGGAAACACGTAGCAAAAAATACAATTGTCGATAAGACGATTGCAAAGGGGGAAAAAGCAAAAGGTAAAAAGCAAGAAACAGGAAACAAAAAGCATATTGTAGAACAGGCTTTAGTGTTTTAGAACAGAGAATTTGTTTTAAATCAATGAATTTGTACTTTTAAAGCACTACATTTGTTTTTAAAGCAGTGAAATAGTGTTTTATAGCAAAAAATTTGTTTTAAAACAGTGAATTTGTGTTTTTAAAGCAGCAAATTAGTGTTTTATAGCAGAAAATTTGTGTTTTTAAAGTAAAGAATTTAGTTAAACGAAGATTTAATATAATTTACATAAATTTACATAAAATAATAGGTAATATTCAAGAATTGTGTTCTGCTCGCCGCAGTATTTTGTGACAGATTTCCTAACCTGAATGATCGTGAACTTTAAAGTTAATATCTTGGTTCGCGGGGCAGAGCGACACTTTTTTTTGCCAGATTCTTTCGTTTCATGCAAAAACGCGTCGAATAAGCCTAATTTTATCAAAATCGACGAGCAGGACACAATTCTTGAGTATTACCATTCAAATTTTCAAAGAAAAATTAAGTTATATTGTCTCTTGTGCATTTCAAGTTATATATACAATTTTGGATATGTCTAATCTAATTTCTAAAAAACAAGATTAAATGTTGAACATATAGGTTGCGTTCACAGTTTAGGTGTTTACGCGCTGTAAGTTTCATTTTATCTTTATCACTCATTATATATGATTACATACAGAAGGAAAATAAAGAAAGCTTACAGCGCATAGTGCTCAGAATCGAAAAGCAGCCACTATCCTCATGTTTCCTCTAAATGGAAACTTAGAAGCAAACAAAGTTGCCTAGTATTGTAAGTTATTAAATTCTGTTATGTTTTCTCTAAGTTCCCCATTATTGATATCCTTTTCAATCTTAGCCTGACATCTACGAAAGCATACATATAGAAGCTAGAATAGTAATGTCACAATTAATTTGATAATTTAATAATAATAATGTGCTAATAAGCATCTTATTATTTCAAAGAATTTATTGCGAACAATATCAACCACTTAACTATACTTAATATGCCAGTATCCTGATTCTATAACTCTTAGTGACAATTCATCAGTATCATTACATCGTCGTCGTCGTCGTGCAGTTTCTTTTGCCATATATAGGATATCCCACCTCTACTGTATTTCTTCTTAAAAACGTATTCTTGAGGTAATAGGCAGCACTTTTATTACTTGTCACACTGTCACGCCTGAGCGCACTGTTTTGTGTTTAGTGAACTTTAATCGCTATTAATATAAAAACTATTGTAGCCTCGACATTTTTGTATTAAGATTTTTGTCTCTAAATTATTTCGTCTCAAAAGGAAATGCCTTTAAGAGGAAATGCATTTGTTTATGTCATTCACATATCGGTCTATTGCACTTATTATTATATAAGTATAAATTAAACTGGGCAAGTGTGGCATGGCGGATAACGCACTGGTTTATCATGTCAAAGGTCCCGGGTTTGATCCTGGTAGAAACCAAAATACACTTCTCTCGGTGTCTCTTCTTGGGAAAGGCCGGAGAGTATCCTTGCCCACAGAAACCTCTCTGCAGAAAAATCTGCCGTTCGGAACCGGCATTAAAAATTGTAAGTTCCATGTGCTTGTGGCAATCGAATAAATTGGCGTGCGCACCACAAGCATATGAGAGAGGTGTAACACAGGCTAGACCTAATGTAAGAAGAAGAAGAAGAAGAAAAAGAAGATAAATTAAACCATGCCCTATAATAAAATATAAAAATGATCAAATATCAATAAAAACGGTAAATAAATATAAATGCTATAAAGATGTGAATGAAAATCTGTAACGAGTATTATAGTAAATAAAATGAAATATGGACAAAAATAATTCTTTGAATTTATTTTATCTTTCGAAATTTGATTTTCTACAACCTTTTATATTGATATTTCGATATATCAATGTCAAGCTTTCTATTCGCAACTTTGATTTGAAATAGCTGAAGAGAAAAAGCTAAATCATTGCAAAAAATTATTGTGAGATCAAATAGCATTAAAAACTTTTAGTTCTAGCATTACTTTTTTTTGTCATCTGATTAAAGTCAATTCACTTTTTTTTCTACTATACTTGTGCTGCATATTCACAAAATGACCTGCCGGTGCACCAATGAGACAACGCTTGACAGCAGCGTATTAATTATGTAAAAAAAAATGGTGCGAACATATAGACGATTAAAGTTGAAACTTTTTATACTAATTATGGACACTACAAAATGGTGACGCTGAAGAAGCAGACAGTCGCGTCACGCTCGACCAGCGGTTCTCAACAAAGTTATTATTTGAGCGTATATTGCGCAAAAAAAATTGTTCTAAGCAGATTGTATCAATACAAACGTTATGCGTCACTTGAAAACAGTCCTATAAAGTGATATCAGATTCAACAAAAAAAAAACACGATAAAAAACAGTAGGGTAAACCCGGAAAATACGCCACACTAGGATTTATGCCGCAGAAGTAAAAAAAAATAGGAGTGGGAGTAATTTTCTCGCAACTACTCTGTTACATGCCTTTATGTTATATTAGTATTGAGTTATAATTTCAGCTTCTTACTGTTAATATTAATGAAATTATTGTGAGTTGAATCGATTTGTCATTGTAATAAGTAGCGCCATCATAAATTATAATCTACATAAAATGATTACTGTAGGGCGTGTAAAAGACCTAGTGAT